ATCAAGCTCTAGAGTCTTCCTTTTCAAAGTTGTATATGTGAAGGCCCCACCAATTTCTATCTTTTCCACAAACATTTCTTGTGTTTTAAATTATATCTACAACAAGGTTATATAATTCCTGCCTGTCAATCTGAATGAAAGGAGTATGTCTCAATATATGAACATTGGCTGCAGCTGGAATAAGAGAAAATAGTAGGTGTTCTGTGCAGGGGGAAAAAATTAAGGCATTAAGAAGAGATGTAACCTTTGTATGTACATGTCGACGCATGTCAGTATGTGATTTATTATGTATACATTCTATGTACAGTCACACTTCAACAAGAAATAGAATATCTAGTTTTCCATGTTTGCATACTTGCCATATACCTGTAGTTCATAAAAATATGTCAGGAAAAAAAAAAGAATTATCTGCCAAACCACCACAAGAAAGCTTTTATAATCTGGGTTTATACATTTTTATAAACATGAGTTATTAAGTACCCATAATATGCCGCACATTTAATAGACTGTAATTGAAAAGCGGGCATCCAGAAATATACATTAATTTAAATTATGTGTTGATATTGATGAGATATTGTTACCAATATTGCAATGGTTCAGTCATCTGTGATTTATTTAAATGTAGATCTTTAAAATGGTGATTATTGCCATTTATTTGTTTCATAGGTTTATATGGTGAAACATTAATTTCAATGTATTGTGGCTTGTGAATGCAGTATATTATATTAAGCTGCCATCCTGAACATTAATAAGCAAGATCGAGTCTGGGTCAGTCATTGGGACCAGAAGTTTTGTCTTCTGAGCTTTCGGACTCATGATGGAACCCATCCTCAGGGAACTTTTCTCTGGCAGAGTGTGTTAATTAGCAAGTTAATTAAGTAGAAAGCTCTTTTGAGCTAAGTAAAACTTAGTTTTGAACACATATGCATAACATAAGATGTATAGAAATGTACTGGGAGTATCAGCCATAAACAATGATTATTCAATGATGGAACAAATACTTCCAATTAAGATCACATTTTTTTTATTATACTTGGTTGAAACACCACAAAAGCAGGAAACTGGAAATTCAGAGGTGTGGTCTATGGTACGGAAAGGTATACAGTATCACGTATCAGGTTTAAATGCTTCATAAAAGGATGGAGGACCTGAACACTGAGAGCATTTTTGTCCTATCCTTCCTTGCTATCAACAATTGGCCTTGAAAACAAAAGAAAAATGTGGAAGCATAGAAGACTTATGGTATGTAAATGTGATATAGGGCACTGCATAGCAATATTAATGATCATGGGGTAGATTTATAAGGGGTATCTTAACTTTCAGTATTCTAGCTTGCTGGGGCTTGATTTATTGTGAGACAGTTTTTAGTGTTGATTTAGTGTGGGCTTTTTAATACTCGAACTTGAAAATGGGTTCACTGGTGTGCTAAAAATCTTTCCTTCCTACCGATCTATTTTCTTGCAACTTATATCTGGGTGTCTAGGATGGGAGCAGGTAATGAAATATGTATTAAGATGTAAGTTTCACCCTTTTGCAATTATATTGTGAAGCCGGATGTACATATACCAAATAGAATGTGTTTCATCACATTATGACTCAGTTAATCATTCTGATGAAACCTTGTAGACACTGCTGAACTTACCTATAATAGACGAATAAATGACTTAGCTTTCAGCTTTATAACTCAAACAATAATTGCAAGTAGCATGTTTGTTTGTCATAGCAGCAGGACATACCATCATGACAGCCAATCTAGAAAGATGATCTCCTTGTATTCAAAACTTTTGAATCTCCTACAGCAATTTTTTAGGGTCCAAACATAATTCTACCTCTGGCTTCTTGAGTATATAATTAATTAGGTAATATCAGACAGTCTTGTGAGTACAGTTGACCTGTTAGATCACATTTCACAAAGATTGGAACATGTAAGCACCAAAGAAAGAATTAAGTGAATTTCTTCTGCAAATTAAAATTGCACACTTCAAATTTGAGGCTTCATTTTTTGTACCTCTTTGTGTTCATTAAAGCAACCCTTTTTATCCCTAGGCTTCTGAACTAAACCTGAAAAAAAGGTGTAGCTGATTTAAGATTTATCAATTTCAATGAACTGATACCACCCATGATGTCAATGATCTCTGTGATGAATGCAGGCTAGGCATCCCCATCGTGATTGCTGGGTGGTAATATAAAAAGGTAAATTGTAATTAAAATTAAGAGCCTGGTGGCGCAGCAGACTAATAGCCTGTTATTAACATTCAGCTGCCTGCAATTACTGCAAGTTCGAATTTCCCCAGGCTCAAGGTTGACTCAGCCTTCCATCCTTTCTAAGGTAGGTAAATTGAGGACCCAGTTTGTGGGAGCAATAAGCTGACTTTGTATAAATATACAAAAGTATGAAGGCTATTGCTTAACGCATTGTAAGACGCCCTGAGTCTCCGGAGAAGGGCGGCATATAAATCAAATTAAAAAAAAAAAATTCAAGCAACTCCTGGGGACTACTGACCAAGTTTATCCAATTTTCTCTGCAACAATGCAGAAATGAACCAAACTGTTAGCTGCTTCAAGATACATCAACTTTATTAGGGCAGTAGTTTTCATGAACAGATGAAAGTTGGTGCCCTAGTAGTAAAGTTGCTCGATCTGGAAGCTGCTACCAAATTCTGTCTACTTTTTCATGTAGCCTAACCAGTTATCTGTGAAGATTCTCAGTCATCCAGGTCATAGTTGTCTCAAAAGTGCTTTTTTAAAAGGCAACTGGACTGTTTTTTCTTTGAGGAAGAAGAATGAAATGTTTCTTTTCTCATCCAAGAAACTTCATCAGTTGTGATGGGGGGAGGATTGGGAGATTGAATGATAGGTACTGACAGATGATATTGTATGGTGGGAGATATAATAGGTTCTGACTGGATGGTAGAGGTGGGAGGAGTGGAAGGATCGTATTTCTTTGCAGTCATCTGGTTCATTAACACTCTCGTGAGAGCCTTTGAGGCGTTTATCTTTGCCCTCAGAGTTTAATTGGTTGTGTAATCTTCTTGGCACTGCTACAAGAGCTGCGTTGCAGACTGGTGGTGTCTTATCTCTCCTCCTCCTCCTCTGTTGAGAGAGGACTGCTCAATGTTAACATAAATGGCGTCTTTTACACTTCTTTCAAACCAGTGATCCTCTCTGTCCAGAAGGTAGACTTTGCTGTCTTCAAGAATGATCTTTGTCTTTAAAATGCAGATGGACTGCTGAATCTTGTCCTTATGGGTTTGATCTCTTATGTTATGCTGTACATTTGTGAAGTGGTTGTTTTGTTTCACCGATACACAGATCTGCATATCTCACTGCATTGTATTCCATATATCACATTGCTCAGTTTGTGTCTGGGTATTTTATCCTTGGGGTGAACAAGCGTCTGCCTTAGTGTATTCTTGGACTTAAAAGTGTACATGTATGTAGTGTTGGTTGAAAATTCTCCTGAGCTTTTCAGATATTCCTGCAATGTATGGAATGACAATGTTGCTACGTTTGTTGTTCTCTTCTTTGTATGTAATGGAGCAGCTTCTGCTGAATCTTTTTCTGTTTTTGAGCAAAATCAATGAGAAAACCAGATCACTTAACAACCGTGTTACTAACTTAACAACTGCAGTGATTTATTTTACAACTGTGGCAAGAAAAGTCGTAAAATGGGGCAAATTCAGTTAACAATTGTCTCATTTAGCAACAGAAATTTTGGGCTCAATTGTGATCCTAAGTCGAGAACTACCTATACTTAAGAAGGCAAAGTTGGCCAGGTACAACCATCAGCTTGAGAGTTCTAAATGGCTATGGCAGCACCAATGAACTATAGGTAGTTCTTGACTTACAACAGTTCATTTAGTGACTGTTCGAAGTTACAACGGCACTGAAAAAAGTGACTTGTGGCTGTTTTTCAGTTACCTTTGCAGCATCCCCATGATCACGTGATCAAAATTCAGACGCTTGGCTACCGATTCATATTTATGACTGTTGCTGTGTCCCAAGGTCATGTGATCCCCTTTTGCAACCTTCTGACAAGCAAAATTAACGGGGAAGCCAGATTCACTTAATAACTGGGTTACTATCTTAACAAGTGCAATGATTCATTTAACAACTGAGGCACGAAAGCTCATCGAATGGGGCAAAACTCACGTAACAAATGTCAATGTTTGGGCTGAATTGTGGTCGTAAGTCAAGGACTGCCTGAATGGGGCAAAAATCGCTTAACAGCAGAAGTGTTTGGGCTGAATTGTGGTCGTGAGTCGAGGACCACCTGTATTCAGCTACTCCATCTTTGGCTTCTTAGCACTTTTCTTCCAATTTGGAAAAGAAAAAAGAAAAACAGTGGAGAAGATTAGAAGCAGGAGAATCTGTCAATCTGGATCAAGCAGCTACGTCTGGCAGCCTCCAAAGCAACCAGCAGCCCCCTCAGGACAGGCAAGTTCACGGCCAGCGAAGCATCCACCTAAATTGCAACCAGAGGGGGGGTGGGGTGGGGATGGGTGGGTAGGAGCGGCGAAGCTTCTAGAAAAAAAACAAGCCAAAAGGTAAGGAGCGGAAAGGTCGAGAGAACGAGGACTATTGCGCAAAGGCAAACTCTTTTTGCCTCCCTTTTCTCTCACGCGCCGGGTTGGCGCGGGAGCCCAAGCAGCCCTCCCGGGTGTGGAGTTTTCCCCGAAAGGTAACATTAAACGGTCAAGCGCAGCCTTTAATTCTGCTTTAACCGCGGCTGGACCCTCTTTTCACACAAACACAAAAAGAGAGAGAGAGGTGTGGGCGAGCCTGTCTGCTCGCCGCAACCCGTTTTTAACTACTCAAAGGTGCCGGAGTCCGACTTGAACGTCACTTGCCGCCCCCCCCCCCCCCAAAGTTCCCTCAAAGCGAGGAGGGAAGGGCGCAGGCGCACGAGGGACAAAGCCTCTCCACTCCTCTCCAACCCCCCCCGCGCTCCATAAACTCCGCTTCCCTCGCCCAGCTGCTCTCCCTGTTCCGTAACTGTCGCCCGGAGAGGAGGAGCCAAGGGGGAGGAGTACCGGGCCGTGGGTTGGGAAGTGCTACGTGTCTACTCAGCCCATATAACCTACTACCCTCCTTTTCGTTCAGTTCAGCCGGGAACCAGCCGCCGGTTTTTTTCTCCCCTCTCTCCCTCCGTCCGTCCGTCGGTCGCTGCTGGCTTTTCCTTTCTGCCTTCCCTCCCTCTTCTTCCGCTGTCCGCGCCTGAGGGAACCACCGTCGCCGCCGTCCGGGACGCGCGAGCCTCCACCATGTCCGAGTTCAGAAAGCAAAGGGTGGTAAGTAACGCCTCCAGCCGAGTTTTCCACCCGCCGCTCGCGGTAACCCTCTCCCCTCTGGCGTTTAAACCCCCCCCTCCTTCGCCGGCCCCCTCCTCCCCCCCCCCCCCCCCCGGCCTGTCATCTTTCGCCCCCCCCCCCCCATCTCCAGGCCGGGATAGCAGCACCAACAGGTCGGAGGATGCCAACCTGAGCGCGCCCCCTTGAGCCACCGGCTTTCGCTGCCCGGTTTCTCGGGATGGGACTCTTATCTATCTATCTATCTATCTATCTATCTATCTATCTATCTATCTTTCTTTCTTTCTTTCTTTCTTTCTTTCTTTCTTTCTTTCTTTCTGTCTCATTCTATCTATCTATCTCTCATTCTATCTTTCTATCTATCTTTCTATCTATCTCATTCTATCTATCTCATTCTGTCTATCTATCTCATTCTATCTATCTTTCTATCTATATCATTCTATCTTTCTATCATTCTATCTTTCTATCTTTCTATCTATCTCATTCTGTCTATCTATCTATCATTCTATCTATCTATATCATTCTATCTATCTGTCTGTCTCATTCTATCTATCTTTCTATCTATCTTTCTATCTATCTCATTCTAGCTATCTCATTCTGTCTATCTTTCTATCACATTCTATCTATCTTTCTATCTATCTCATTCTATCTATCTCATTCTGTCTATCTATCTCATTCTATCTATCTATCTATCTATCTATCTCATTCTATCTATGTATCTATCTTTCTATCTCATTCTATCTATCTCATTCTGTCTATATCATTCTATCTATCTATCTATATCATTCTATCTATCTATATCATTCTATCTATCTTTCTGTCTGTCTCATTCTATCTATCTCTCATTCTATCTTTCTATCTATCTATCTATCTATGTATCTTTCTATCTCATTCTATCTATCTCATTCTGTCTATCTATCTATCTTTCTATCTCATTCTATCTGTCTATCTATCAATATCATTCTATCTATCTGATCTATCTTTATTTAGTCAAGCATGTATTAGATAACAGATATAAGTATAAACATGATTATGAATACATGAAATGAAATGGATACAAATAAATGGGGACATTAGGACAGGGTTAGTACTAGGCACGCTGGTGCCCTTACGCATGCCCCTTAAAGACCTCTTAGGAATGTGGTGAGGTCGACAGTAGACAGTCTAAAGTTAAAGTTTTGGGGGTTTGGGGAAGAAACCACAGAGTCAGACTTCCGTCGCCTGGAAAAATTAGCCCTTGGGTCCTGCAGGAGTCCGGGAAACGGGTGCGATTTTTTTTCCCCCTGGTGGAATTTGAAGCAAGAGACGGTGCTAGGGATGCTACTGTCACCTTTTTTGTAGGTTTCTTAGGGATGCCAAGCAGCCTCAGATCCCTGTGTAGATTATTCAGGCAATCACTTCTTAAGAAGCCTTGCATTGAACCTACCCAGTGATCATTCCAGAATAATTCTGGTGGTGGTTGTTTTTTTTTAAGGGCAAAGGCTTGGACACTGATAAAAGCCCTTAGCCCAGCTCTTGGATCGCCCACTCCTTTTGCTGTGTGCCAGTAAAAGGAAAGTCTGCACCGGTCTTTCATAGCTTCCTAAGATTTCCTTAGGCTAAGCCAGTTTTCCTGGTGATCCCAGCCAGATGTGTTGGAGGTACCCATGCCTAGAAGTCCCAAAGTAGGTGGAAATTGTGACATCTGGAAGGTGGGACTTTCTGTTTCTTGTTTTGCTTCTTCCTAGAGATATGAGAAGGGGACAAACAGCAAGTTTTACCTCTGTGGGTTAAAGGTTTCTGAAAAATTTCTATAATCAGCTTCCTCTCAAGCAGTTACTTTTGGAAGTGTGTTTCTCCAGCTTGTAGGATCACTAGGTCCATGCTTAACGCATAGTGTATTTTATTTCGGTTCTGGCTTCTCATCAGGTGATGGCTATAAGAAACATTAATGTAGCATGTACAATGTCTGAGGTTCCTCTTATGCCATTGAATTCAGAGATATTTCTTTTCCAAATATCTCACGCAGACACACAGATGTGTGTGCCTATGTGTGTGTGTGGTGGAGAACTTCCTCCTCCTGCCACTGCTTTAATTAATTTTGTCCAGTGGAGTTACACCCCCTAAAATGGAAATCACCAGTAATATTAATGCATTCATCCATTTGCTCATCCATTCACATTGGCCAATACTTTTAAGCAAACAATAGTTGATACCTCTGAGTTTCCTTCCTCTTTAACATATATGTGGTTTATTACATTTTGTCTTCCACCTCAGAGCTATTTTTTTTTTAAAAGGAACAAAAATGCTGGAATCAATAAATAGCAGTTGGCCAATCAGGAAGCTCCCATCCATGCTAGAATAAAGCAACCTTCATCTCTCAGTGATCCCTTCTTGGTTTTAAACCGTCTAGAGCAAAACGGACTTTAGCAGCTGATCTCCAGCAGATTAACATATTTGTTTTCATCTGCATTCTTTCTGGAACTTGTAGGATTACCCAAGTAATACATTCAGTCCCGGAGGCATGGCCTGTGGAAAGCTTCCCCAGTTATGGGATGTCTATTTTGTAGTTACATTAAAAGTACGCCAGATGTATTCAGTCATTATATTTACACATGACTGCACAGTGCTTGTTGATTCATGTTCTTTCAGGATTTAGGAGCAATTTCTTTGCGTTGCACTTGGAGTTTAACCTCTGCTTCCCCTTTAAGCCCTCTGAAAGAAGACAAAACAAAGTGCTGAGCTAGAATTAAGAGAAAATTTTAAAGCAAAGAGTTTTCTAAAAAACAAAAACCAACTCTTGCTTTTTGTATAATATATTTTTTATTAAAATCCTATACACATTTGATAAATAAAATACAGAGTTCAGATTCTGCCTTTTGTCCAGTAATTCAAAGATGGTATACCTGAGTAGCCCAACATCCAAGTTTATCCCCCCAACAACTCTTTGACATCAATTATACTGAGTAATAGTGCCTGGTCTCAATATTAATCCAGTGAATTTCTTGGCTGAGGCAAGATTTTATCCCAAGTCTTACAAGTGTTGGTTAAAAATATAATTTTGTATTTATGTGAGGAATAGAGGAAATGCAGGGGCAAGGAAGAAAATAAAAACTCCATCCAAATCTCCATAATTATTCCTTATTATTATAATTATTCTGTGTACATGATTTTACCTCTTTGTATAATGCTAACTTTCACCCATTAATGGTTTGGTATTTGGATTTCTAATTGCCAGCAAAATCAAGTGTTCAGATTTCAAGAACAACTGTGTTATTAGTAGTTTTTGTTTAATTAAATGTTGTATGGCAATGGCTCGGTTATAAAACAGTATACAGGGAGATATAGTATTCCCATTAACAGCTACAGAATATTAAATAATAGTAGCGAGAATGACTGTTATCCCCAACAGAGAAATCTAATTAGAAATGAACGATGGTATAGGAATTGCTGCAAAAATCTCCAAGACTCTAGTAGCATCTCCTCCTACTAACAATTTTTGCTAAAAGGCATAAACCTCACGAAGGAGCCTTTAATAAAAATTGTTCTTTGGAAAAGGTGCTGTCGGACTTTTCCTGATGTTTTGATACCACAGACTGACATGATTCTCTCCTGGAAAAACTGTTGCAATGGTTGGAATAACTTTAATAAAACACATTAAGATGACTTCAGTAAGTAACCCATTCAGACAAACATGTACAAGTCAACAAGTAAAAAAAGAGGCAACCATTGTAAAAACTTAACTAATTTCAAACTTATTGTCTTTGCACTTGGCAAGTGAAATTCTTGTGATTTGGAGTCTTCCATGTATCCACCAGAAGAGAATATCTGTAGCGTAGAGTTGACCTCCAAGCTTGACTGTTTTCTTCCAAGAATATCATTAACTAAGGTACTCATTCCCAACTCAGATGGTGTTGCCTAGTTGGGTAATGAAAAACATGCAAGAAAACAACCCAGCTTGTATTAGCTTCTTTATTCATATTCAGCTTCATTGTTTCATTAATTGATATTGTAGGGTAGATGTGTTACATATTTGTCTGAGCCGTCCTACTTTTTGAAGGCTCAGACAAATACATTTACTATGTGCAGCATGGCCACCAAACTAGATAATATTTATTTTTATTGACCAGATTTCTATTAGTCAGGAGGGTAGGAAATACAATTGAAATAATAAGCCAGAGAAATACATTAAGGGAAGCCACTGCCAAATGTATTAGGAAAAATCTTCAATTATTGTTCCTGACTGTGAGAGGCAGTTTCAATAAGTAACCTCTCTTGATGCCCATCTAAAAGGGTGTTTTCAAAGTAATTGGGAATCCTCCCCACCAGATTGGGGCTTTTAGAAAACATGAAGAAAAGCTGTTCTTTTCTTAGGAAACAGCATAATGTTTTGATGAGCCTATTGTGAAGATTCGTGAATATACATCTTCAGATTTCACATAACTATTTGAAGTGTACTATGAATCTAAAATAAAAAAAGAGTTATCTCTATGAACCATATTTTATCTTTATTCTGGATTAATGCCATATTCACTGTGTGGGATGGTCAGATATTGATGCATTTTCTTATAGTTAAATATCATTTTCTTATAGTTAAATAGTATAAACAACAACTACTGTTTCATGTGGTACATGTTTTAAAAAGATTTGATCTTAAATTATACATGCCCTGTGCAATTTTTAAAACACAGTTCCAAACATTAGGCATGGAAATTACTGAAAAAATTATTTTGTGTGTAACGTAATAAAAGTTAAGTTCCACCACTAATTGTTTGTTTTATTTTTAATCCAACCCCCCATGGAACAAAAATAGTTTGCAAATTATATTCCGTCTTCTCTGGCAACCTTATCTTTTATGCCATTTGCATCACTTGGCAAACAATTTTTTAAGTGCTTCCTAGTTAAGGACCTTATTCAGGTAAACTTAAAGCAGCATGTTTGAATGCTATGGAACAATGCAATTTAAAACTATGTAAGTTTGGGTTAGTTTCTAATTCAAATCA